CCCGGCGTGAGTTTTAAGTCACTGGGTCCGGGACGTGAACCGCGGTCGGCTATGTGGGAGTCCAGCGACATAGCCATTACCCCAACTGCTGGTTCCCTCATTATTATTATTTTAATATGATCAGAGAGAGAGAAAAGGAATGTGAGGAAGCAAGCCGCCAGGTCTGAGACTCAAACCACAGTCAAGCACGTGGGGGTCCAGTGCCTTAACCACCATGCCACACCCCTGCCTCTAGTCAGGGTTTCTTATACAGATTGTTCCTTAAGTCATTGGGAAGACTGAAAAAAATGGGTCACGGAGGGAGCTGCTGCCTCTTCCGCAATCAGGAAGTTGCTAATTAAGAGACCACATTCTCCAACAGGAAGCTGGAGCCACAGTCCTCAGATCCAGAGCCATGCCACATCTGCCACATCCAGGAAGCAACTCAATCAGAAAGCCATTCCACAGTCCCACCAAAACCCCAGCCAGCAAAGAGATGCCCGGGACTATCCACTCTCTCCCCACTTAACTCAGTCCCCAAAGTCTTATAATCCTCTCCTTGTGTGACTCAGTTCATAATCAAGTATAAATAATTAATAAAACTAAACTCATATCTGGAATCTCAGCTGCCAGAGACTTTGGTAGGTTGACTATTGAGTTTTCTAGTCCCTCTAATAGAGAAAAAGTGGGAATGAAGCTCAAGTACTTCAAGCCATTATTTTAGCCACAGTTGTTCTAGAAATTTGGGGCACTGGGTGTATCATTGGCCAGCTTTCCTGTCCCCAATCCTTAGGCATTTTACCCACATACATGAGGGTACAAAAAAAATTTTTTTTAGGAAAAATGGAATTAAAGTACAAGGTTATTTTGGTACAAAAAAATTGAAATCAATCTATACTTGTTGATAGTATGTAATTTATAAGAACTTTTTGAAGGCCCCACCTTGTGTTATCTCATTTAGCTCTAACCCCAACCTTTGAACAAAATATTATTTTTACTTTATAGATAATGAAACTAAGGCTCATAAAGTACAAGTAATATACAAGAAGGTAACAGAATCAAGATTCAAACCAAGGTCCATGTTTCACTATTTTCATTTGGCAAAATTCCTATATTTGCTTTGCTTAAACTAAGCACCAACAATAATGGACTTTTTTTATTCTCACTTCCCTTTATCTTGACTATGATTTATGGTTTTCAAAAGAGCTGGATAAAACTGGTACTCTCTGACCTCCAAACCTTTAATACAGCACGTTTCTTACTTTCTTGAGTTCTTTGATCCTGTGGCTCACCTGAGAAGCCATCTGTATCATAATTGTCTTAGTTGGGAAAGGTGGAAGGATGCATTCATCTGCTTATATTCTCCATTGGTCAAAGACTCACTCCATGAGACATTATTGTCCTTTCCCTCTATGGCAGACCACACAAATTCTAGCCATCATTTAAGGCCCAGATCAAATACTATCTCTCCACAAAGACTTCTCCGATCTCCCTAGCAAAATGTAGCCTTAAGTTCTCTGAGACTCCCATGTATGGAATGTGTACTTCTCTTGAAACATTTACTACAATCAACTTATATAATTGATCCTGCCATAGTATAACTTCCTTGATGACAAGAATTATGACATCCACATGTGTGTCCCTTAAGTCTCGTGGCACAGAGCATGCATGTAGTTTCTAGAATCCACTAAATAAATAATAAATGAATAAATAAATTTTCTTAGTGAGGTACTCTCTTCTTTTCTTTTTTTAGAGGTTTTTGCCTTAGGGTGCGTGAGCTTGTCGAGGGGAGACACAGAGAGACAGAGATAGTGAAAGTGAGAAATCATCCCTGGGGAGATGACAACATCACAATCGCTTCTCCTCTATTCTCCTCTTGGGATTTTGGGCATACATGCACATGAACCCAGCATGATTTTCAAGCCCCTGGGTCCAGGAGTTGAACCACAGTCAGCTATGTGGGAGTCCAGCAACATTGCTACTCCATCTGCTGGCCCTAAGGTGCTCTTTTCTTTAAAATGTTGGATAATCTGTGTCTGAGTAATTAAAAATCAATTGTTCCAGTCTACTAATTCTTTTAGCTTATTTTTTTTATTTCCTCTATGAGCAAGAAAGAGAGAGATCACATTTCCAACAGGATACTGATGTCATGATTCACCCCAGCCATCAGCCAGCCCCAGAGATGGGCAAGTGTATGCCCAGAATACTCAGTGAGGTCTCTGGACTTGAACGGGGAATTTTCTCTTGTGGGATTGTCTTGAAGAGAGTGTTTTTACCCTTCTATCTGAACCCATCTCCTAGTGACTTTAATAACAAGACTTTCCACCATCACTATCATCCATCTTATTTCTCCCATAGTTAGTGAATTCTCATCAGTTGCTAAGGACTGGATGTTTGTGTCCCTGTGAAATTCATGTTGAAACCTAATCCCCAATGTCATAATATTAGGAGACAGGGACTTTGGAAAGTGATTAGGTCACATTGGTGGAATCCTTATCAATAGGGTTAATGCCCTTATCAAGAGCTGAAGAAACCAGTGTTCTCTCCCTTTCACCAAGTGAGAACATAGCTAGAAGGCACTGTCAATAAATCAGGAAGTAGGTCCCCAACAGATACCAAATTTACAAGTACCTTGGTCTTGGACTTTCCAGCCTCCAGAACTGTGAGAAATAGATGTTTGGTCTATAAGCCATACAATTTATGGTATTTCATTATAGAAGCCCAAATAACCCAATAAACATCAGTATACAGATCTTTTTAACAGAATTATTCATTTTGTAACTTTTACATTTTTTAAAAAATAACTTACAAAAAGAGAAAGTGCATGTGAGATATAGTCCCAACCAGGGCAGCACAGTGGCAGCAGAATGTTCTGTATTTCTGGAAGCCAAATGAAAGATCAAGGTTCAGTTTCCAGGTCAACTATGCATGCCAGCACACACACTTATGATCCTAGACAACTGGGAAAGGCTGGAGGGGAGCATAACGTGAGTCTCTTTTGAGACTACTTTTCTTTCTCTCTCTCTGTCATGTCAGAAAAAGAGAGAGAAAGGAAAGGAGAAGGGAGGGAAATAAAGGTGGGGGAAAGGAAGGAAGGAAGGAAGGAAGGAAGGAAGGAAGGGAGGAAGGAAGGAGAGAGGGAGGGAGGGAGGGAGAGAGGAAGGGAAGGAGGGAAGGAAGGAAGGAAAAGGATAACATCTCTGGAGTTAAAATGAGTCCATTTTCTCTTTGGAGCAACCACAGTGAGACACTTGTTACACTAGTGCAGGCATTTACCATAAGTACTGATTCATCAGGCAAAAAAAGAATAGGACGCATTGTGATAGAAAAGTATCAAGGCGTCTGCATACTTCACATTTAATCCATTTGATTTCCTGCTACAGTAGAATTTCTTCCATTTGTGTCAGTCCTTTGGAGTCAGCACACAGCAACAGTCACCCTAGTGTCTTCTGGAAATTTCCCAGGTGAAATTCCAGAAGAGTGGCAGGCAGTCACCAAGGCAGGTTCTCTACTGCTGTGTGGTTAATGAAACTGGTGGGCTAGCCACTGCTTCCTGGTTGCCATAGAAACGACCAGGCTGCTGGCCTTCTGAAAACGGAAGAGAACAGCAAGTGCAGGACCAGGCATTCCACCCTGGCTTGCAGATTAAACCAGCTGTCAAGACTGGGTGAAGAATCGATCCATGGCCAGGCAGAGGTCTAAGGATCAGAGGTGAGATCTCATGGTGGAACCCCAAGGTGTAAGTAATTAATCTGTTCTTCTTTCTAAACATGCATACCTAGTTTTAACAGTTTTTAATAGCTTTAGAATTTCTGCTGCACGGCAGGCAAGTTTGTGCTGGTTTGTTGGAGAGCCACTATCAGGGTCACTTCCTTCATGCAGCATTTGCATTGCCTGAATGTAGTGTAGAGGAATAGGTGATTTTTGCCATGAAAATCTGTTTTAGGCTTCCTAGCGTATGAA